GCGCGTCCACCATAGACTTTATATGTAAACCTGCTGCTCCTGACGCTGAAATCGCGTTCGGTGTGAACGCACCATGATTCTTCACTTCACCATCTGTGTCGCAGTTTCCCGTCTCCAAAAGGAGCGTACGCATGGGTCAGAGCTGGCGTGAGGCACCGCACATTTTCACGTCAAGTTTGGATTTTATAAATCACAACCTTGGCGTAAAAAGTGGCGTACGCAAGTTTCTGGGCTCAAATTGTGCGTACGCCAGTTTTATAAATCCGACCCCTGAACAGTTTGATCGGTCCTAATACTCATTTTTTGTTTGTTTTTGTAAAATAAACAATGCCTTTGTTTGTTTTTGTTTGTTTGTTTGTTTATGTGTTTGTGCAGCAGCCTCTTCTCCACGCCTCCTACATTCCTTTTCATCCTCAGAGAACATTTCTCCGGCGCCCTGAGGGCTCCTCGTCTCGCCCACGTGCTTCGCTGAGTTTGTCTAAATCTAAGCAGTGTTTGTTTACAGAAAAGCAGGGTTTGAAGGAGCGTTAGAGAAGTACCTTATAGTACTTCCCCTTGTAGAGACAAGAAGCTTTGACAGGAGAACACTCTGGACAACACTTCCCCGGCAAGTGAACGAGCTCCGAGTCCTAAAACAGAAACACAGACATTTGTTCTGTTCACACAGGAAGAAGGTTTTCTGTTTATTTGCTGAGTTTTAAACCAACAATCATCTTATAGGTGGATCGTTTAAAATCAAGTTGCGACAAACATTCAGAAAATAGAGTTTTATGAACAGAAAATCAAATTAGAGAGAAAAAAAACAATTTAAAACAAACAACGTAGAAAAAATGAACAACTTCAACTGAAACTTCATGAAAGAAACAAAATCACCCGAAAACTTATACCCATCCAAGATGGCCGCCACAGCTACTCAACTGAACCTCAAGGAAGCAGAGGGAGACACAAGAAGTTAGGAGACATGAGGACAAGGAACAGGATAAGATACAAGGAGACACTAAAGGACACGAGGAAGAACAAAGAGACAGAAGAGGACAGAAGAAGTCAGGGAGACGGGAGGAAGAAGGAGACAAGGAGATATCCAAGATGGCCGCCACAGCTACTCAACTGAAACTCAAGGAAGCAGAGGGAGATACAAGGAGACAAGATAAAAAACATAAGGAGACACTAGAAGACATGAGGAAGTACAAAGAGTCACAAGGAGACAGAAGAGGTCACAGGGAGACAGGAGGAAGAAGGAGACAAGAGGAGATATCCAAGATGGCCGCCACAGCTACGCTATTGAAACTCAAGGAAGCAGAGGGAGACACAAAAAGTTAGGAGACATGAGAAGACACTAGAAGACAAGGAAGAACAAAGAGACAGAAGAAGACACAAGGAGACAGGAGGAAAAAGGAGACAAGATGAGACATCCAAGATGGCCGCCACAGCTACTCAACAGAACACAGTAAGTTGAGCCTCTTTAATAAAATCAAATCTACAAACATCCTGCTAAAGGTCCGACAGCAGATTTTACAAACGGTTGAATTTAAGGAGCGTCTAACTCTAAATGTCAGGATTTCATTTTATTTTTCTTTGTTGACATTTGAAGGTTGTTCCTGAGTCAAAAGGATCAAACAGTTTCTTCAGCTCATGGAGCGTAACGTTATGATGATCATAAACCTCCTGACCATAAACGTCCCCCGGAGCCTCCCCCTGCCAGCTGACCCACACGTGTCATTAAACCCACAACCTTGTGTTAACACGGCTCGGACCCACCGGCAGTGAAAAGCCGGTCTTCCTCAGTGACCTTCCTCATTTCAGCTCTGGACCAACGCCAGCTACGCTACTTAAAGCTAACGACACTGAGCAGCTTCAATTATCGCAGCGCAGCGTGATTAACGGGGGCTTATTTGGTCCTGGGAGGGGGACATTACCCAGATATGATTGAATCTGTCCCGGGTGGGAAAACGCTGGACGAGGCGCGGCTGAAAACAGGCGCCGAGGTTTAAGACGGTCGGACGCACGGCGCCAGGCTTTGGCTCACGTTCAGACGTTCATGATGGGTTTAAATGTTTGATGCCAGCAGGTTGGGCTCGGGTCAGGCAGGAGATCTTCAGCTTCTCCACGGCTCATTAGTCTTACCTCGTCTTTTAATTTACTGCATCTTAACTAAGACATTATCTGCGCCGGACCTCCCAACCTCAACCCATCATTAGCCCCGCCCACTGCGTTGATGCTAACTGCTGGATTTCCCAGCTGAACACGACGCTCATCACTGATGGCTTCCATTAACTTCTAACTAACCTTTGAAACCAGGAAATGGGATTTCTGGGAGCCGGCACGTCACATTTTCTTAAAGGTGATCCAGTTAAAAGCAGTCCAGCAATTTCAGCTAAATTCACTGACCCTGCATTAGCATTCAGCGCTAGCCGCGATGCTATGGATTTAAATTAGACGTGGCGTTTAATCTTTAGGGGGTTAAAGGCTGAAACCAATCTCTTCAATCGGTTATAAATGTCTGAAATGAGCAGATTTTAGAAAAATAAATCAATAAAATTATTGAAACTTCTACACAGACAGGGGTGTCACTGAGGAGGGGGACCAGAGGGGGCAACGCCCACCCCTGAAACACACTGGAGCCACCCCATTGGCCACCCTTAGGCAGACAGTTTTAAAGAATTTATAGAACCTTAGAAATATAAAAAACATTGTTTTTGAGTAATTAGGAGTTAATTTTTTAAGATTTATTCATTTAATTAAAAACAAAAACACACACAACATACAAATATTTGAAATATATATCTGTAAAGTGATATAAAGTAAATAAATCCTCTGTAACAGGAGTATCAAACTCAGTAACCCAAGGTGGCATATTTCAAAACTCTGTCCAAGCCAAGGGCCATTCTCTTATCGTTTACTGAATAAATGTTATATAACAAACAACTCATATAAGTACAAATTACTTTTTCCTATTTATATTTTATGTAGTGTTTAGAACTTGTATACTCTGTTAGTAAAAATATTACATTTCAGTATTATTTTCTTAAGCCTTTCTCTATCAACTTTATTTCTTAGAGATCTGTTTTGTCACAAATCAGCTAATCGGTTAACAAAAACAAAAAACTTTACTAAAAGTCCAATTATTTGACTTTAAAATAAGAAGACGATTCAGAAAAGATTAAACGTGATTGATTCACTTTCCGCACCAAACAACAAATATTACAGAAAATTTATTTTCTATTTTACTTTACTATTTTTAAAATCCAGTGAAAAAGTGAAACCATAAAACTATTTCACATTTAAAGTTTTACCTCTGGGGCCAGATAAAGTGTTACTGAGCGGCCAGATTTGGCCCGCAGGCCTTCAGTTTGACACACTTGTTCTGTAATATAAAGTTCTGTTGATTTCCAGATTCCTCCGTGTGATGTCAGGATCTCAAATTTAACTCGCATTTTTATTAATATTTGAAGAATAATAAATAAAAATAATAGAAATTAAAAAGTAGGACTAAAAGTCTGGATTTAAAACTTGTTTAAAGTTTCCTACACAGCGCTAAATCAGATAGCTAAGTTCAAAAATAACGTTCATGTTTTAGCTGACAGAGCTGCAGATCGACCACACCTGTGTTGTGTTTGTGACGATGAGCTTCAGCTTCGCTGGTCGGTTCACTCGAGTTAAAGTTAAATTCAGGGCGTCTGTGACTCTGCAGGATCTCTTTAGCTCAGCTAAATATGAGCCGAGAGCTTTGACAACACGCACAGAAACAGAGTTTTACATCTTCCTGCGCTGGTTTCTCACAGAGAAAACTAAAAGTACAGTAACTGTGCTCAAAGGAGTTTCTGCGCTCTGCTGTTTCCAGAGATGTGAGGAAGAAAAGTGCAGCTTCAGCGTGACTGCGGACCAACGGTCTGCAGGCAGGAGGGTTTTTTTTTTTTCTTTAACTTTTATAAACGCTGCAAAAAGAAAGTGAAGCTTTTTTCACTTTTATTTATCAGGACAAAAGAAAAACATCTGGTCCTGAGCGCAGCTCAGAGCTACAACATTAAAGAGAATTATTGCTGCTCTTATCACTGACTTTTTTTATTGCCCTGGGTTTTGTCCCGTTTCAGTTTCAGACTCTAAAAGGTGCAGATGATAAATAAACTGTTTAACCTGAATGTTTTATTACGCAGCATTTCTGCATAATGTTGCTTTAATGTGAAGCTTTGCTGTGAGACCACTTTATATCCCAAATCTGCTGTTTTATATAACTTCTGGTTCATTTTGTTATTTTCTTTTTAATTTTTGTTTTTGTTTTACTGTTTGTTTTTTTTACAGTCCAATTATGTCTGCAGACTTTGTGCTGTTTTAGCTGTTTATAAATCATAATGTTCAGCTGTGACTTTTGGTTTGTGTAACTTCATCATTTTTTAGTTTTTAATTATAAATATTTTACCCACAGAAACACATTAAGACAACGTCAGTACTTAAAACAACTATTTGCCTCTTTTTAGCTGTTTTTAGCTTCTAACAACCTTTTTGCTACTTTTGGCTTTCGTTAGCCTTTTGCTAAAGTTAGCCTTTAGCTAGTGTTTTGCTACTAATTAGCTGGTAGCGAGCCTTCTGGCATTTTCACGTTTTAAGCTATTATTTTTCCACAAATAGCTTTTAGCTATCCTTTTGCTACTTTTGACATTTAGCTGCTGTTTTGCCACTTGTTTTGCTACTTCAAGCTTTTAACCAACCTTTTGCTTATTTATCATTTAGCTACCAGTTTGTCACTTTAGATTTTAGCTAGCCGTTTGCTACCTTTAGCTAACATGTTGATACTTGTAGCTTTTTGCTTCTTTTAGCTTGTAACTATAAATTGTTTTAAGCTAGCCTTTTGCTATTGGTAGTTAGCCTTTAGGTGGAATTTTACTACTTGTAGCGTTTAGCTAACTTTGTAATACATTAACTTCTAGCTATCATTTTGGAGATTTTAGCTGCATTTATTTTTTTAACCAAGAATATACTCAATTTATCATTTTGCTACTTTTAGCTTTTAGCTATTGCTTTTCCATTTCGTATTTTGGTTAGCACTTTGCTAATTCCAGCTTTTAGCTCTTTGATACTTTTAGCTTGCAGCTACAGTGTTGCTACTTTTAGCTAACCTTTTGCAAATTATCTGAAGTATCCTTGGTCAACTTTTAGCTCACAGTGTTTTCTGACCTAGCTAACAGCTTATAGTTAGCATTTTGCTACAGCTGAAGCTAAATCTTCTCACTAAATGAGCTGAAGGACCGCTTCTGCTCACCTGGGGACATTGGACTCGGCCGCACTCGGCTCGCCGACAGAGGACCTGGCCTCGGTCGCAGGTGCAGAACTCGCAGGCCGTGCCGTTCCACACGTCTCCGTGATAACGCACGGCGTCCTGGTACAGGCAGCTTCCTCTGGCGGGAACGCACTCGTCGCAGCACCGACCGGGTCGCCTGACTCGGGTCAGACCCTGCGAGGAGAGGATTACAGGAACAGAGGAGATAAAACATCAAAGGCCAGGGCCTGAAGACAACCTGTTGTACATATTTTTGGGGGAAACCAGAGTACCCGGAGAAAACCCACGCAAGCACGAGGAGAACATACAAACTCCACACAGAAATACCCCAGGTCTGAACCGGGGATCGAACCCAGGACCATCTTGCTGTGGGGCGTCGGTGCTGACCACTGATCCGTCGTAAGAAGAACGGCTCCAGGAAAGTAAATTTATATAAAAAAAACTTATTACAAGCTCATAAAATAATAATAGTCGTTGGCTGTAAGAATCTGCGTACCCAAATGAAATGACTGTGTGCAGCAGACCACCGCTGTTATCAAACATCTGTTAAAGTGTGAATGAGAAACACCGATCCCCCGAGTGGCACAACCACTCACACACAATCACACACACACCCACACACACACACACACACAATTTCACGGTTTGTGAAGAATGTGGACCCAGGAAGGCCGGAACAATAAGACAGAATACAACTTTTAAAAGTCTTTAAAGGGGCAATATCATGTAAAATCAACTTTTTTGAGTTTTATATCATGTTATAATGTTATACTCTCATAAAAAACATGCCCAAAGCCTTGCTCTGACT